GACGCCGAGTCGGTCTTCACGCTCGTGAACGGCCGCGCGCAAACACTAACGACGCCGCCCGCTACCACGAGCACGCCTCCATCTGGGCTGCCCTCGAGGGCGACAAGGTCCGGCCGGGAGACGTGCGGCTGATCAGTCTGAACTGGCTCATGGCGCTGGCAGAGCGGGGCGGCGTGCTCCCGCGGCGGCAGGACCTGCCAGAGGAGGCCTTCTTAAGCTCTGCCCAGCTGAGGCGGATCGAGCAAGGCGCCAGGCGCGGCTTTGGCTGCTGCCCCATCGACGAGCCGGCCTCGTCCGCGTCGGCTGAGCACGGACAGAGAGTGGAGGATTGTGCGGGGGTGCCCACCGCAGAGGTCACAGTCTCTCGGTGCATTACAAACCCACCCGCAGTTGTGTCGGTAGTCTGCCGCGGTGGAGACGTCTCTTCATTTACTTGTCGTATATACGGAATCATCAATACGGCTCTCGCATTGTACGTCTCCTACGGCTTTACTGCCTACACCTCTCACCTGCCGACGGCGAGGGGGAGGAGGGGGGGGAGGGGGATGGAGGGGAGTGCGAGGGGTATGGGGGCGAGGGAATGGAGGGAGAGAGGAAGAGCAAGGGCGAGAGGGGGCAGGGGACTGGTCGGTGGCATACTAGGGGGGGCAGGGTGGTGGGCGGCGATCGCCGCATACCGTCCTATGGTGGCGAGTATCGCTACGCCAGGGAGGACAAGGGTGTCGACGTGCGGCTGCTGCTGTTCGAGTCGTTCGGCGGGTTCGGGAAGGGGGTCGGCGAGATCCTCTGGGAGGCAGCGAACGTGCTGCAGAACAAGCTGACGCGGGCTCATTACCTCGATGAGCCTGAGGTGACTTGGACCACCAAGAGCTGGCTGGGGCTGCAGAAGCAGCGTATCTCAGTCGTTCTTCACACGGCCATCGCAGAGCAGATTGTGAATGAGCTTGCCAACGGCGAGGGCGGTCGAGTGCACGGAGCTGAGTGCCTCGCCGTCCTCGCCGGAGTCGCTTAGGCGGCTCCAGTGGTGTACCTGTGTTAGTGCCAGTGCGCGCCAGTCCCGTGCCCAGTCCTGTGCCCAGTGTTGTGCGAGGGAGTTTTGTTGTAAAATTCTTTAGTGCCAGTGCGCGCCAGTCCCGTGCCCAGTGTTGTGCGAGGGAGCTCGACTGTAAAATTCTTTAAGCTCCACCATCTCTGCCTCCGAGGTCACCCCAGACGTCCCCCCCCATCGACGCAGTCGAGTGACTCACATGAATAGGGAGGAGAAAGTGTCCCCCACATATCACCACAGACGCAGCACAGGGGCTCCAATCCTGTCCCAGCCTGGGGGCCTCGGCTAGATCTCCAGTGGGGAGTGCGAGGGCTGGATCGACTGCAGCGAGAGTGTGGGTTGTGGACCGTCCAGGGATAGCGTGTGGCATAGATGTTCCCCTGGAAGTAGAGAGGCTGATGTCTCTCGCCCTGCAGGAAGGAGAAACTCAGACGGAAGAGTGAAAACTCCTCCCTGTGGCATGTGCGCAGAACGGGTTGCGCAATGTGCGGCATCGTGTTGAGGGCTCGGGAGGGCAACGACGGCAGCGTTGCCGAGCTTGTACAGGGGCCTCAATCCTGTCCCCGATGGGGTGCGCCTCTCGCCGCGCGCGTAGTAGTCGGCGCGCGGGTAGCCTCAGAGATGCGCAGAGCGAGATGCGGGTATCAGCCAACCAAGCCCTGGGCTTGGTTGGATGGGCGCGGCGAAGCCGCGGCGCAGTGCCAGTGGATAGCGTGAAGAACTCGAGATCGCTGGGATCTTGAGCCGCCGCTGCCACGTGCAAGCCCCGCAGAGGTGCGGGCGAGAGGGCGGCCCGAGCCCGAAAGGGCCCGCCCTCGACCTTGCTCTACATGGTAACGGATAAGAAGAGAAACTACGTTCGGACCGGGACACGCTGTGGTTCAGACCCTACCCGTTCTGCTGACGATTCCGGGCTTGCGCAACCCACAACTCTTCTCGTTTGTCAATCTGTTGTCAACCCGCAACTCTCTCGTTTGAACACTCAGGTGGACCCGAGCCCCCGCGACTCCTCGGAGCCCGAACCCCCCTGCCCACTTCTGGTTCTATCGCGAGGCCCCCGGGAGCCTGTGTGTGTGTATGACCTCCTCCTCCACGCTCGTCCTCACGGTCCCCGGCAGCGCTGGAGAGCACGACGTCCGCTCACTCGTCCTGGCGTACGGCGCTGTGCAGCTCTTACGCGAGTCGCCAACCACCTTTCACGCAATGTTCGAGACTTGCGAGTTGGCGCAGGCCTTCTTCGAGGGCGAGAGCGACCTCTCGATCGCGGGCGAGGCCGTGGCGCTGGACTACTTGCCTCGCAAAAGACGAGCAGAGGAGGCGGGGATCGGCACCGACGCGGCGTCGCCGCCGCCCGACGCCGAGATGGCCGAGGCGGCGGCAGCACAGGGATCGACAGCCGCGGCTGCCGCCGCCGCCGCCGCCGCCGCCGCCGCGCCCGCGCCCGCGCCCGCGCCCGCGCCCGCAGCCGCCCCTCCGCGCTACACGCACGAGGTTGCGCTGCCGCCCGACTGGCCGCCCCTCGCGGCGGGCGATCCGCTCGCGACGCTGCCGCTGCCCGCCGCCTTTGAGGCGCTGCAGTTCCCCTTTGAGCTGGACCCGTTCCAGAAGAAGGCGCTCGCGGCAGTCGACCGCGGCGAGTCGGTGCTCGTCGCGGCGCACACCTCGGCCGGCAAGACTGTCGTCGCGCAGTACGCCGTCGCCACCTCGCTGCGCGGCAAGCAGCGGGTCGTCTACACGTCGCCGATCAAGGCGCTGTCAAACCAAAAGTACCGCGAGCTGATGGCGCAGTTCCGGGACGTCGGGCTGATGACGGGGGACGTGAGCATCAACGTCGACGCCTCGGTCCTCGTGATGACGACCGAGATCCTGCGCAACATGCTCTACCGCGGCCACGAGCTCGTGCGCGAGGTGCGGCACGGGCTCGCCTTGTGACGGCGCGCACTTGCGCCCTCGCTGAGCCTTCTCGGAGCCTCCTCCCCCTTCCCCCCAGGTGCAGTGGGTGATCTTCGACGAGGTGCACTACATGCGCGACAAGGAGCGCGGCGTCATCTGGGAGGAGTGCATCGTCCTCGCGCCCTCCGCCGCGCGCTTCGTCTTCCTCTCCGCCACCATCCCAAACGCTGCAGAGTTTGCCGGCTGGATCGCAGCTACGCACGGCAGGCCCTGCCACATCGTCTCGACGCCGCACCGGCCGACGCCGCTCGAGCACTGGGCGCTGCCCGCCGGGGCGGACGGCCTCTACCTGCTCAAGAGCGCGGACGGCGCCTTCCACACCGCCAACTTCGACGCGGCGATGCTGGCCCTGCGCAAGCCCGCCGGCGCCGCCGCCGCGGCGAAAGCGGGCTCGCGCGACTCGCCCAACTTGCGCCGGCTGCTCGCGCAGCTTCAGCGGCGGCAGCTGACGCCCGCCATCATCTTCGCCTTCTCGCGGCGCGAGTGCGAGGGCGCGGCGATGCACGCGCGCTCGCTCGAGCCGCTCGGCGAGGAGCAGCAGGCGGCGGTGCGTCAAGTCTCTCGAAGCGGTGTGAACAGCGTCTCTTCACACCTCCAGCTATGAGCAGGCGGCGGTGCGTCAAGTCTTCGAGGCGGCGGTCGACACGCTCTCCGAGGCCGACCAGCGCGTGACGCAGATCGAGGCGATGCTGCCGCTGCTGCTGCGGGGCGTCGCCGTCCACCACTCGGGGCTCCTGCCGCTGCTCAAGGAGCTCGTCGAGATCCTCTTCCAGGAGGGGCTCGTCCGCTTCCTCTTCGCGACAGAGACCTTCTCGCTCGGCCTCAACATGCCGGCGCGCACCGTCGTGTTCACCTCGATGCGCAAGTGGGACGGGGAAGTGTTCCGGCCGCCCTCCGCCGCGGAGTACATCCAGATGTCGGGCCGCGCTGGCCGGCGGGGCCTCGACGCGCAGGGCATGGTGGTGCTGCTGCTCAACGAGGAGATCGAGGCGGAGGCGCTGCAGGCGATGATGTCCGCCTCGCCGCTGCCGCTCGAGTCCGCCTTCCGGCTGCGATACAACACGCTGCTCAAGCTCTACGCGCTCGAGTCGTACGACGTCGAGCTGCTCGTCCGGCGCTCCTTCTACACCTACCAGCGCGTCGGCGCCCTGCCGGAGATCGCGCGGCGGCGGGCGGCGCTCGAGGCGGAGGCGGCCGCGCTGACGCAGCCCGACGAGCCGAGGCTGCGCGAGCTCCTCGCCGCGCGGTCGGAGCGGGCGGGGTGCGAGGTGGCGATGGAGGCTTTTGTGCGCGCGCCGAAGCACGTGCTGCGGTTCCTGCAGCCCGGCCGGCTGTGCCTCCTCGAGGACGCGTCGCGGGGCGTGAGCCTCGGCTGGGGCGTCCTGCTCGGCTGGCGCGGCACCGCCACCTCCGCGTACGTCGGCGGCGCCTCTGTGCCGCCCGAGCGGATGAGGGCGTCGGAGCTGGTGCTGGACGTGCTGCTCCCGTGCGCCGCAGGTGCGCAGGCGCTCGCGCTCGCCGGCGACGCGCCGCAGCCCGCACCGCTGCACGACCCGTCCGCCGAGGCGTGGGTGCTGCCGGTGCGCCTCTCGTGCTTGCAGCAGCTCTCGTCCGTGCGTCTCTGGCTGCCGGACGAGGTGTCCAGCCCGGAAAGCCGCCGCGGCGTGCTGCACGCCTTGCGGCAGGTCTTCGCGGAGCGGCGGCTCGCGGACGCCTCCGCGGCGCGCCAGCTCAATCTGCGCCCGCTCGAGCACCTTGGCGACAGCTCGCCGGCGTGCAAGCGGGCGATGGGCTTGCTCGACGCGGCGGTGGCGCGCGAGGCGCAACTCGACGCCGAGCTGCGCCGCCTCCCTGCTGTGGTGCTGATGGACGTCGGCGGCGAAACCGACGGCGACGGAGCGAGCGGCAGCAACGGGGCGGAAGCTAGCGGGGCTCACGTTGACGGAGCGGGGTGCGGCGGCGCGGCAAACGGGAGCGGCGGCGCCACCAACGGCTCTGGCGCAGGCCGGCCGGCTGGCGGCGCCACGCCGGCGACGCTGGTGGAGCGGGAGGAACGGCTCTCGCGCAAGCAGCTCCTCCAGCAGCAGGCGGCTGGCTTGGCGACCGAGGCGGCGGGGGTGGCGTGCGACGAGTTCGGCGAGACGGTACGCCGGATGCAGCGCGTGCTGCTGCGGCTCGGGCTCGTCGATTCGGAGCGGGTGGTGTTGCTCAAGGGGCGTGCCGCCGCCGAGGTGGACGCTTCGGACGAGGTGCTCGTGGCTGAGCTGCTCTACCGCGGTTTCTTCAACGAGCTCTCCCCCGCGGCAGCGGCGGCGGTCTGCTCGTGCCTGGTCGCGGCCGACATGGAGAAGATCAAGCGGCCACAAACGCCCCTCCCCGCGCTGCAGCCGCCCCTCGCGACCTTGCGCGAGGTGGCCACCGAGGTGGCGCGCGTCTACACGGACGCCGGCATCGCGACGGACGAGGCCGAATACGTGCAGCGGTTCGACAGCGGGATGGTCAACATGGTGCACGCGTGGTGCGAGGGCGCCACCTTTGCCGAGCTTTGCGACTCGTGCGAGCTCTTTGAGGGCTCCATCATCCGCGCTATCCGCCGGCTGAGCGAGCTGCTTGACGAGCTCAAGTCGGCCGCGAAGGCCATGGGCAACGACGAGCTGTTCAGCAAGCTCGAGGAGAGCTGTCGCCTCCTCCGACGAGACATTGTGTTCGCGTCCTCGTTGTACGTTGAAATGTAGGAACGAGGGTGGCGACACCCCATTGACGAAAAAGTTTAAGGTGTTGCTCTTGCTGCGCAAAAGGGGTCGGACACAGGGCGCAGCTCATGCTAAGTCCTAAGAGCTAGAAGGGGAGCTAGAGAGAACGACCACCCTTTCCCGTTATTGCGTACACCAACACCACAACGAGCCAGAAAAGCTCTCTCTCTCTCCGCTGTGCGAACCACTCTTCATGAGTGTGACGCGTACGGCTTTACACACATGCTTACCGACGTATATGATAACTATATATATGTAAAAGAGCGGGGAGAATCGACACCTGAAGTGAAATGCGTGAGAAAAATCGGTGCGCGTATGTGCGGGGGGGCAGCCGGGCTCTGCCTCTGGGGTGGACCGCGCGGGGGACGAGTCCGCTGCCAGCGCGCAGCGGGGCCGGGGGGGGGAGGTGTGCGCGTGGCGCGTGCGTGGGGTCCGGGGGTGTCTCGGCCCGACGAAAATGTCAAAGTGGAAATGTGACTGATGTGTCTTGTACGACCGGGATGGTGTTCTATTCACCACATGGCATGGAAATGTTTCCTTGTTGTCAGTTGTTACGTGCATGTTTGGGGGGGGCATCCAATTCCGCCTCTGGGCCGATTCAAACCCCTCGGCACACCCTCTCGATCGCTCTGGTCTCGTTCGCGCTCTCCTTTCCCTGCCACTATAGTTCGTCCATCAGAGGGGTGTCCACTACGCCGCTGCCCCCGCTCAGTCTTAGCACGAGCTTATCTTTCAGCTGCCGCTCGGTGCGTTCCCCGACCATCGTCTCGATAACTCGCTGCATCGCCTCCTCGGCTGACTCTCCCGCCGTTTGCGTCCACCAATCCTGCGTCGTGTCGACCACAATCCAGTCGCGGAGCGGTCGAGCGAAGCCAATGATACTCCGCCGTATGGGTTCTGGATAAATGACGATCGGTGCCTCGCCGAGCAGCGCTGGCACCAACGAGAAGCAGCTCTTCGATAGGATGAGCACGTCGGCTGTGGCCATGTGCGCCCACACCTCCTCCAGAGGGCCATCTAGGTGGAGCCGCTCGCCAAAGGCGGCCTCACCCCCCTCGCCCCCGTCGACGTCTGCGGTGCGGTCCCCACCTCGCCAGTGCCTCCGAAACTCCTCTCGGCGGAGGCCGATGCGGTCGGAGCTCCAGGTGCCCAAGTCCCGAACATGGCTTGAGTTGTCCCCAAAGACAAGGACATCGGCATCGGGTTCAACCTCGCGGATGATGGCAAGAAGTCGCAGGTAGTACTGATTCGGAAGCAGCCGGTACTGAAAGTACTTGGGTTCTCCCAGCAGGTCGCCGCGGCGCACGTGAACCACGACCCGCAGAGGCGCGTCCGCTTTCCAGAGGGTCGGTGGTGGCATCCGAGCTCGCCGGCGAAGCTCTTTGCGGAGGGACGCGGAAAGAAGGTTGTCCAGCGGATCAAAGAGATGGTCGAGGTTGGAGGCGCGGTCCCTCACATTCAAGATGTGGAAGCTCGCCTCGGGGTTGGCTCTCAGAATGTCCCTGTGAGTTTGAAGGAACGCTGACGCGGAGAGGCGATGCGAGGCGTGTGGCAAACCCGAGGGCCTTCTGATGGGCAACCCGATTCGCCGCAACAGGGAGATTTCGCCATGCCTTAGTGTGTACATCAGGGTTCGTCTTTCGGCTTCTGCCCTGCTCTCTGTTGTTTTTGACTCTTCGCCAGCTGTGCCGTTTGTCGCAGGATCATCTGGATCGTCGTACCATCCTGCTCCGTCGTACTCATCCTCATCGAACTCGCCAACGTACGTTAACCCTGTCAGGTTGGCTAAGGACCAGGAGAGGATCATTCCCATGGCAAAGGACCCTGTCCGGTCCCAGCTTGTGTGCGTCAGTGTGCCTCCCTGCTTTATCACAGCATGTGGCCCGCGCTCAGCGCCGAGGGCATCAGCTGCCGAAATTGAGCTTACTGATGCAGGTGACCACAGCGAGACCATGATGATCGCACAGGAGCGCGAGCAAGGAGATTTGGCCAAGATGATGGCGGCGCCGATCGATAGGAGCGGTGCGAAGGCAATTCAGATTACCGTAAAACACGTAAAACCTCGCCACGAAAAGAATTTTACCAGACTCTCGCCCAAGGGGCACGGGACTGGCGCGCACTGGCACTAACACAGGTACGCCACGATAAGAGCTTACGCCAGGAGGAGGAACGTCGAGCACTTGTTGTATGTACGGTATGACGACAGGAGAAAAGACGAGCACTTGTTGTGTGTTGTGGGGTGTGGGGTGTGCGGTGTGTTTTATTCAGCGATGTCAGGTCGCCAACTGCACTCCAAGTGCTCCAAGTCCGCAAGTGCTCCAGGTCGCAGGGTCGTGCGAAAACCAATTGACAAAAACTCCCTCTTACAACACTGCTCACTGGGCACGGGACTGGCGCGCACGGGCACGAAATAAATGAGAAAAGAGCACCAGGAACAGGAGAGCAAGTGCAGCTAACCTGGTGCCGGCCAGTGCCAGACACGGGGGTGTGATGTGGGGGACGCGGGCCCGTGGGGGCCTGGGGGCGGGGTGAGGTGTGCGGACGCCTGCGGGCCTGCGCCCTGCGGAGATTCGTGGAAAAGCGCGTGACGGACCAGCTGCAGCTCCACAGGCACCCAGGCCCACAGCGCTCTCATAACCACATTATAGCGCAGCTCACGTCAGCACAAGCAGCGCGCGGGGGCCGCTCGCCCTCCTCGAGCCGAGCGGGGGAGCCACCCTCTCCCGGCTCCCCCCATTAAGCATATTGTCATCCATGCCCTCAAACCCCAACCCAGTGACGCGGACATATTCAATTTCGTATAGATAAATCGACGAGAACGGCTCACGCCCCCGGGCCGGCCACCACTGCCACCCGACCAACTTAGCTGCCCCGCCCTGCTTCTCCTCCGCCGCGCCGTGTCACATCGCGCGTATGAGCTCTGTTGCGCGCTTCTCCCTTGTTCGGCTGCAGTTGCCAAATGGCCACCACCACTCTTTGGTGAGGGACGGCGCTTTATCAGCGCTGCGCTGGGACGAACGCTCGAGATGGAGCCCCGCGCCGCGCATACTCACCCACTTGTCGGCCTCGACGCCAAAGAAGCCGTCCCCGGCGGCGGCAGGGAGGCGCAGGCCGCCCCGCTGCCAGCTGGCGAGGAGGTTGAGCAGCAGGTTCGACCACGCGTCGGTCGGGCCTGGCTGGCAGTAGTGCAGGCAGTCCGGCACCCGCTTGGCCGCTTCGGAGGTTGGCTCGGCCGCCGCTGCCGCCTGTGCCATCGCGGCGTCCGGCCGGCGGGCGGAGAGCTCGTCGACAGCGAGGTACGAGGCGCCGGCGGCGCGTGCGAGCGTGGACGCCACCCAGTTGAGGCGTGTGATCCGCCTCCAGCTGTTGCCGTAGCGCACCCGCCGCTCGCCCGCGTCAGCGGCGAGGTACTCAGCAAGGTCGATCGGTTGCGAGTACCGTGTGCAGTGCGGCACCGGCAGCGTGGCGCCGAGCACGACCAGCGAAGCGGGCGGTTTGCCTCGCGCGGCGCGCAGCCGCGCGATCGACTGGAGGGTGTGGTTGAGGCTCCGCGTGAAGAAGGCGTCGGCCGAGCGGCCAAGCTGCTCCTGCACCGCCGGGTGGTGGTGCCCTGTCGAGAGCACGACGGCGTCCGCAATGCTTGCGCGGCGCGGATAGAGGCTGGTGCCGATGAGCTCCCTGAAGCGCGGGTTGCACCGGCGCACCTGCCCGATCTCGTGCTGGTGCATCGCAAAGAGGAGTAGGTCGCGCCGCACGAAACTGATCCGCACCGTGTCGTTGCACGCGGATGCGGTTACGTCGTTGAGCACGCTCTTCTTGTCGCGGTTGCGGCCGAGCGTGGCGCCGAGCATCATGCTGATTGAGAGGAAGAGCTGGCCGGTGGTCGAGTCGCCGACGATGAGGAGGCTGCGGCCCACGGAGCGGAGCGTGGCGCACGCGCGCTCGCGCTCAAACTGCTCAAGCCTGCAGCCGGTTGGCCGCCACTCGCGCTCGGGGATGGAGCTGCGCCCGCCGTGGCGGCGCTCGTGCTGGTCGGCGCAATTGCCGTAGTGGTGTGTGGACCTGTTCGAGATGGAGACCCCCGCTCGCACCGCGAGAAGCGAGGAGGTCAGCCGGTAGAGCGGCGGCTTCTCAGTCTGCACCCAGGCGCCCTGCGCGTAGCGCGAGCACGTGTTGCAGGACGGGCCGGCGGCTGAGCCGTCAAAGCACCACGGGGAGGCGGCGGCGCCGGTGCGCCGCTGGGAGGTCTCGAGCATCACAGCAAGGTGGAGACGGCGGAGACGGCGGAGACAGCGGCGGGCAAGGAGAAAAGAAAAACGAAAATTTGGGCTAAGTCTGTCTTCTTTTTGTTGTAAACTTCTTTTTGCTTGGCCGTCATGACGGGGTAGGTAGGGTCGTTTTGAGCGCTGAGGCTCAGACGGCGAGTTCGCGCTGCGCTAGGCTCAGTACGGCGAGTTCGCGCTCTGCACCGCTAGCGGCTTATGCGGCTAGGCTCTCGCGGTGCGGAGAATTTATCTCTCGGCTGCGTTGGCTCGCCAAAGTCTTTCTTCTCGATGGCGCTGGGTCCGCTGACTGGGGCGGGCGTGGGTGTGCGTGTTTTGTAGAGAAGCAAAAACGCACGTCGTCCGGGTTCTAGACGGTGAACGAGCTAGCGTGCGGGGAGAGCGGCATTGTGCATGGTGCGGAGTGCATTGCCGTTCTTAACGGAGTCGCTTAGGCGGCTCCGGTGGTGAGCCGGTGTGTGTGCCAGTCCGCGCCAGTCCGCGCCCTTGTCGTGCCAGTGTGCTGTGAGAGAGGCGAGCGCGTCAGAATTCTTTTTTCGCAGGCGGGAGGCCAGCCGAGAGGAGAGTGGAGGCGCTCAGCACCCGCAACCCCGCCCGTTTGCATGCCCGGCCGGACGAAGGCTGGCTCGGCCGCGTCCCGGCGCGGGCACGCTTCAACGGCGGCTACTCCCGCGCCGCTCTCGCTGCCGA